ATAAATCTGCATGAATAAATCCAAAATTGTAACCCCGACCCTCGTTCGTCAGTGCGCATGTGTAGGCGTAGCGTGTATGTGTAACCCCCCATAGGCAGTCGACCATAGGCAGGACTTGACGATTCTGTTTCGTCTATGTAAATCCTTAGTCAGGGACAGCCCTAATATATTGTTATACTGTAGAGAATAATGCAGGTGAATGACGTCACTTCTGACAAACTGTACCCGCTCTCCCATAAACACCAGCCACGTTCTGAAATCCACAGCAAAACGCAATGTATGTTTCTGTTTCATTCATTAATAAAACTTCCCTCTAAAACAACAAGGTGCTGGCTGAGGTAATATGTATGTTAGATTGTACTACATGGAATAATGGAATTATACATGACTTTTCTTTGTTTTGATATCAGCATTATAAATCAGCCGCCCTGTTCTCTAAATATCAGCATCGACCATTGAAAACCTGTATCGATCGACCACTTAGTCCCTTCCCTCTGTTCTGAGATAAAGTAGCTGCATGCAAGACAAGAAAAAATCTTATCTTGCATGCAGCTATGGTGTTCTGTCATTGCATCCTACTAGAATTTGGTGCAAAAGGAGTTGTAATTACGCTTTAAATGTACCATCACAAATCACTAAGGAGTTCCACAACACTGTCAATGCCCCAGTTGAGATATTTTTGGACTTAGAGAGCGCTGCTGGGCAACACAACTACATTATATCTGAAGTTTGATATTGTTTATACTGTCTCTGGGTTTATGCAGGAGAGGAGAGGAAGAAGGAAAGAGAGAAGAAGAGACAAGGGTGGAAAGGAGAGGAGGAACAAGAGGAGAGGAAAGGAAAGGACGAAAAGAAATGAGGAGAGGAAACAATGGGGAAAAGGAGAGAAGAAGAGAGGACATATGAGAGAGGAGGAGAGGAGGAAAGGAAAGGAGGAAAAGAAATGAGGAGAGGAAACAATGGGGAAAAGGAGGGAAGAAGAGAGGACATATGAGAGAGGAGGAGAGGAGGAAAGGAAAGGAGGAGAGGAAATAATGGGGAACAGGAGAGAAGAAGAGAGGACATACAAGAGAGGAGAGAGAGAAGTTGGGAGAAGAGGAAACAAAGGAGGAGAGGTGAGGAAGAAAGGAGAGGAGGAGAGGAAATGAGAAAACAAATGAGGAGATGAACCGAGGAGGAAACAAAGGAGGAGAGGGGAATGAAGGGTTGTCAAGTCAGCATTCAGAGTCAGAGAAAAGTATCATCCATAAATGATGATCTGAATCATTGATCTGAACCTCAGACTGCAGCTCGTCTGTCAGCGACTTCAGCAATAGCCTATTAGTCACACATCAAAGCATCTACTGTGGTGTGTGCGTTCGCCTTTTGCTCATTTCAGACAGCAAATAACAGGACTTTCAGGGTGAGCGAACACAAAACTCGACTGTACTTGAGCTGGCTCTGCAGTGACACATGCGTAAAACAAGGATGCTGTACATCCGACACACTTCGTGTTCATCTCAGGTGTGTCCAGAGTGACTGAAGCAGAGCTCATATTAACAATAATTCAGTAAACACACACACACACACACACACAGAGTGGTGAGTTGCCCACTCAGCGCTGGAGTCAGGTTCGCTGGCTCTCAGATATCACTGTGGCCGCAGAAACCAAAACCTTATTAATAAAACATGAGCGCTGATTGGCCAGAGAGGCACTGCTGCAGTGATGTGATAGAGCCTCAAAAGGCAGATAAGGTGACTGGAGAGCGGGGCCATCACATGATCTACGGCCCTGTTCCTCGATTTTGGTTAATGAGCGGCCTGAAGTCGTAGCAGCTACTTGTTTCACAAAGTTACTGCTTCTAACTCACTCAAACATATCTTAGATGCAGCAGTGGAAGAAGTACTCAGATCATTTACACAAGTAAGAAAAAGTAGCAATACCACATTGTGTAGAACTACTAATATACGTATATTTTTATAAAAGTACAAAAATATTGATCAAAATTGCATCAAAATGTACTTAAAGTACAAAAAGTAAAAGGTGGGGCTAATTTTAAAACAAGACAGTGATTATCTGTCCCTTAGTCAAGTATTTTATATTTGAAAATGTATAAAGGGAAATCTGGGGCCCTGACGCAGCTGATAACATTAATAATTATATTGTTATCTATAATTTAAAGGTCCTATGCTTATGTTTGACAGTAGAGGAGATGCTGGATCATCAGCCAGATTAAGCACTGTTCTGCAGAGCTCTACTTATGTTTTAAAAAAGGGAGGATTGTAGTGGTCAGTGTGAACATCAGTAATATATCCTAGTATATTTTATTCACTGTAGAAATTCAGAATGTAATACTGATTTGCTGATACTGACCAATACGCAACATGTAAATATGTACTGGCAATTATTTTTTTCCACTTCAAACACTGATTAGATTCAACTAGATTGTCATTGCACAAGTACAGAGATAATTAAATGCAATTTAACATCTAACTGGAAGTGCAAAAGAAGAATAAAGTTTGGACAAATGTACGTATGTATAGCGGTAATATCTGGAAAGGGTAGATATGAATAGTTTAAAATATAAACAGTACAAAACATGTGCAGCAGTTACCGTAGGCAGAATATATAGTGCAGGTATAAGTACAGGTAATGGCATAGTAAGACATTATATTCAGAGTAGACAGCTGGAGGTATGGAGTATGGTGTATACAGTAGAGATCTGATATACGCAGTATGGACAGCAGTATAAATAGGTACGGGGGTATGTGAGACCAGGTAAGTGTATGTCCAGTAATGTGGCAGTGGTAAGATATATAGTATCTAACCCTCTTGTATAGTTTAATTTAAACAATTATATGTCATATTATTATATTTGCTGATGATATTTTGTATTAATAATCTGAATGTATAAAGTAGCTAAAGCTGTCAAATAAATCTAGTGGAGTAGAAGTACTGTACAAGTACTTCAGTAAATGTACTTAATTACTTTTCACCGCTGCTCAAATGTAAGAAATAAAGAGTCCATTGTCTGTGCGCTTGATGCTGCTGATCGATGGAGACAGAGTTGGTCAGGTTCAGGACGAGAGCCCAGTCAGTCTGCTGAGCCTCAGTGGCGACAGCAGTGACAGAGCGGGTCAATGGCTGACAAGGGAACAGCTCACGTGACGGTAAACCCCAGTGGAGCTTAACATCAACTGGAATAAGAAGGACTTCTGCATCTGTTAGTTATATTTTTTTGAGGGGAAATTGTGGGGGTGTTCACCTTTTATCTAAAATTGCATCATCCACTTTTTGAAAATAAAATTCAGGCAGAATACAAGAAAAGACATCCCACTCTTTATTTTTAAGTTTCCAAGGGCAAACTGTTCGGTTTCAGGCGTGGGGGAGGACACAATGAAGTCAAAGGCACTTCAAAAGAAAATAAAGTGAACGCTATCTTCTGCATTTGACATTAGAGTCTTTCAAATAACCGGTATGAAGAAATTGGTTATTGTGCTTTCCATTACAATGTAAATAGTAAATAGCGCTGTTATTAATACACCAACCTTTTAATCACTTTTAATTTCCTTGGTGTGGAATTCAACGAGTTAAAATACCTTTTCAATAACAGGAATGCAAATTAACTGGAATTATTTCAGTACTTCCCAGCAGTATATAACTAATTATAAATAATTTCTTTTGTTATAATTAATTAAATCTACGCAAACCTGAGCCCGGACAAGCGGCAGAAAATGGATGCATGAATTAAATAATTAAAAATTATTAATTAGTTCATTATAATGCTTGCAAAAATTGACACTTGTCCATTATGAGAAGAGCTTTACTACTGTAGCTGCAGGAGTGACAGTGTTTGTGTTTGTCTGATGGTGCTCAACTCCACAGCTGCCTGCAGCCCAATCCACTGTCACAACAAGTGTGTAACTTCTCCTGACAGTCTGCAATCGGATACAAAGCTTTTTATCACTTACATTTAGACATTTTGACACCTTCTAAAAGTAAATACTTTTCCAGACCTGCAGATAACCTGCTGACAGACCTCATACCTTATGATAAGTAATGTTGTACATCGATCTTTAATACAAAGAGCACTGTCTTTTACTGTATTATCTATTAATGTTCAATTCTAACAAGTTTTCAGAAGAACAGAATAGAATTCATGTTTTTATTAAAGCAGAAAAAACAAGCAGAGGGAGGCGTCTGACAAGTGTCTGCAGTAGAGCTGTAATGATTACTCGATTAACCAATTAACTACTATTAATTTGACTATTTTGATTAATCACTTTGAGAAAAAATGTACAATATTTTCTTGTTTCTTTACTCCCTTATGACAGTGAACTGAATTTATTTGGGTTGTGGACAAAAGAAGACATTTGAGGACGTCGTCTTGGGCTTTGGGAAACGCTGATTGACATTTTTGACAATTTTCTGGACCTAGCAACTAATCGATTAATCAAGAAAATAATCGACAGACTAATCAGTATTGAAAATCATCGTTAGTTGCAGCCCTGGTCTGCAGTTTTTCTTCTCAGGACAGCCTGTATGTAACCTGTGAGCCAGAACCCAGGGCACAAACAAAAGTTCATCACTGACTTCCTGCTGCTCCTTAAGCTTGTGATGATCACAGTCCCCTCCCTTATTGACAAAGCTAGCTTGACAATAGGCAAGCTAGTTAGCTCAGAGACCTTTTATTCCTCTAAAACTCTTCATTAAATGAAATGTACAAACCTGAAAACAAAATGTCTGGCGGGAGTACACGACCCAGTGCGGAGAAAACTCGGACACTGTTGTGACTGACTAGTGCAAGCAGTCACGGCTGGCTGCTTCCATCACCTACACTGCATGTCCCTATGTACCATTACTTAGTTAAAGTATGTTATATATTAGTAATTGAAACCATTAAACAAATACTAACACTTCTCATAACAACAAACAAAGCACACATTTAGACACCAAGGAGGAAACACAGATTCACATTACTCCCATCCACCTAAATCTATTTGTGTTTATATAAACCTACCCAGGTTGGAAGAGGCTCGGCCCTGAGCTGCCCTGTCCTGCAGCTCCTGAGCAATTTCTAGCTGGTGTTGGTGGTACTGACGTGCCCTCTCCAGGTCCTGCAGATCATACATTTTAATTTATTACATTATGTAGAACTTACAGAATGTCAGAATACCCCTGATGTAGTTTTTCAGTTAACCGTCTTTAAATGGCTTCATACCAACCTGCATGCATCGAGCAGCGTGCCCCAGACCAGCATATGCCCTCATCTCGATCGCTCTGTCGCCCTGCTCTTGTGCCAGCTCCAGCACTCGCATATGGTAGGATATGGCCTTGTCGAAGTCCCGTTGAGAGTGGTAGGCGCTGCCCAGGTTGCTGTACGCTCGAGCCTCCTCACGCCGGTTCTCCAAAGTCTGCCAAAGACATCTTCATTTCATTTTTACTCAGAAACTGTCTCTGGTCCCCAAAGATCAGAAACTACTTCCCTTAAAATAGAATTTCTTTATCAGCAGGCATACATGGCTTCAAATAAAGCAAAAACTGACTTAAAATTAATCTCAGACGTTGAAATTCAGTTTGAAAAGTTTAGAAAGATGGAGATGGAGCCCACACACATCAAACAGATGGCATTTTGTTAAGTTACAAGCTGCAACATTTCCAGCTTTTGTCAAAACAAAACTACTTTATAAACTTTCAGAACCTTTATTCTGGTACAAATCTGTCAACAGATGGTCAATTTGTATGTATAGAGCGAGAGCGCTACAAAGACTGAGATGTTGTTGGCTGCAGTGGCTGGCTAGCTTAAAATTCTGCACTTCATCCAAAAAAAAGACAACAAACATAAAAAGTGAAATGTGCACAGATTAATGTCTTTTGTTACTGTACGTGTAACATTTGCTTGAAGAGCTGCACAGTGGTACAAATATCTACAGGCTCAGCAACCAGTGTCCTGAATATGCAATAACTTTGTTATAAAATACTGCATTCAGCAAATGATAGATGTGGTAAAATACACACAACGACATTAGAAAAACTCCTGAATGAAACATCCAGTAAATGTTGCTGCAACCCTTCCAAAAAAAAGCAGCCCCCCCCCCCCCTGTTTAAATTTAGTGTTGAAATACAAATCACCCTTCTCTCTATAATAAACCTGAATTCAATTACTGGATGTAGCTGATGACTTTATGTTTAGTAAGTACCTCTAGTTGGGTGATGTATTACATGTCTACATGGGATATCCATTTTTAGCCTGTTTGTTAAACAACATCTTTCCTGCGAATATACTTTAACTACTTTTCCATGTGGGAGCCACAGAAATGAATCTATCAATCAATCGAGGTAACAGGCATAATCTGATTTACGAGACGATGTGTAGTTTGTCACCATTGTTGTCATGTTTTTAACATGTTATTAGGTTGAAGAAACACATACTTTTCTAAGGTAATTCTGACGTTAAGTGGCGATTCAGTATTTATTATTTTTGTTACTGTCAACAAGTGAGATCAGTATCATCCTGAACGCTTTGGATAGGAAGCTGTATCGCTCCTGATGAGCAGTTTGCATGGCGGCCATTAGCGTATGAATGCGTGTGTGAATGTGACAAACATTGTAAAGCGCTTTGAGTGGTCGCTAGACCAGAAACTGCTGTTTAAACACAAACAAGTCCATTTACCATTTAGCTGCAGATGAATCCAGATGTGGTGCTCTAGTGAGTATTTAGGGCAGCAGCAGGTGTATGTGGGACTGAGTCAGAATAAACTACAGTTTGTGTTCATGGTGATGAAGGAACATGTCTCCCAGTGCAGCAGTGACACTCACTGATGGGTTTTTGGACAACAGCGGAGTTTTATGGCTCAGAGGAAGAGGAGACATCAGGCTTTGATACACAGATGATACTTGTTAGTGGAAACATTCCCTGTTGGTTTTGGTCTTTCCATGAATTTTGTTGACAATAAAGCAGAACATACAATACGTTGTGGGAACAACCTGTAATCTGCCAGAAGAGTTTAGGAGGAACAAAGTTTCCCCCCATCAGAGACATTATAGATCATAGATGTAGTACTGCACCTTTGAAATGTCCAAGTGCTGCTCGTGGCACTGAACTGCATTGGTGAAGTCTCCAAGTGCCGTGTACACAGCGCCCATGTTGCCCAGCTGGCGAGCCTCGGAGAGCTGGCACTGGGTTTGTCGCGCCAGCAGCACACACTGTTTATGGCTCGCCAGTGCGTTGGGGTAGTCACCGATAGCTGTGTACACATGGCCCAGACTGCTGAGAGCATCGGACGCAGCCTGAAATCACACCAACATACACCGGTTAGTAATCAGAGCCCAGCAAAAAAGCACAAAACCATGCACATAGTGCCAGAAAAGATCTGGGAATGTGGTAAACTGGCTAAAAAGAAGTCAGACACAAGCAGTCAGAACTTAACTGTACTTGTTATAGTTGTGCTTATATTTAGATTTGCATTTATATGAAACTGGATATTGTTAAAGTATTTTTTACTTATACCAGTATTCGAGGATGATTCGGCTGTTTTTTCTTGTTTTTAATAGGGGCGTACTCACACTTGGGCAGGCTGTCCGAGCACAATTGTTTTTCACAATTTTATCCAATTATTATTTTACCATTAGTATTGTTTATATAACAGGAACAATGCGCAGTACGTCTAGCAATGTAATGTATGTATTATATAATGTATAGCACCAGATACAGCTAAGGGCTATGAATGTGGAGCTAAATCCAGTGTCAGACTCAATCTTAACAATCAAAGTCAACCCTGATGAGCGTATCAGCATTTGGAGTTTCTTAGATCTCAATCATAGCGCCTGGACAGTAAGAGGACGCTGTTTAGAGAGAATGTAAAAAGAGAGAGGGGACAAAAATAGGATAAGCGAGGGGGATATCACCTCCTGCCATCCCATATGGAAACGTTTCCTTTGGAAGATGCACACATAGCTAATCTCTCACATCCTATTAGACCCTGCTGTGAGCTTCTCACCCTGCGCCGCCACCACTCAGATTCCTGCAGTTCTCTTATTGCTGTATTTTAGTTAGCACATAAGATACTTTTACAGCACTTTGAGCCGTCTACTGATTTTTAGCGCCGCTCTTCGTGCTAATTACAGGACCTCTTCAGGCATAATACCATGCAAATCATGAAGAGTGTGTTTCAGCTAATGTTCACACCGTTGTTGTCTTCACATGAACTCACACACACTCACACACACACACACACACACACACATAGCTCCCTCTTGTAAAACTCTCTAGTTTGCTTCTCTGATTAGACTGAGAGAGACATGAGACACGGTTTGCTGCACTCCTGCTCTTGCTTTAGTAATTTGAAACCTGCCTACTCATTTGCTAACTAATCTTACGGTTATTGGTATTGATTGGTTCTCTATCAGAGGAGTCATGGGAAATAATCGTCAGGTAGAGAAAGTCTGTTTCTAATTAACCAGGAAAATTAAGAAGGCGAGAGCAACATAGACTGTATTGACAAATTTCAAATTTATCATTGTGTGTTGTGTCTATAGGTGTGAACACATACACCTTCGTACACACATAACGCACAAAAACATAAATATTATTTAGAGATAGAGATATAGACTGTTAAACTGTTTAAAATGACTAAATTCCAACAGTTAATATTTTAAAAGTGTTACACAAAATGGGTTTGCAACTGTACATTGTACAATAAAATAAATTTAAATCAAACTAAATTGATTATTAGACTAGAAATAGAATATATTTCACAGGATGGATATAGTTTTTATATTATGTGCCATGTAAGAACACAAATATAAAAATAACAGTCCTTCTGGCAGTTCTGATGTGGGGGCATTCACTGGCAAAGGAATAAACACTCAGTTTTCACATTAATTAGACACGTCAACATTTCTGTCTTTACATAGGTCTGACGATCCCTCAGTTTTACCATCAGCGCCCGAATCTCAGTCTGCCATCTACATTTTGGCTGCAGCATCTCAATGCAAATGAGGGCCAGTGGGAATTCCCAACACCAGACACAGTGTTCTCCACCCCAAAATAATAAACAGACATTTTAGGAACATGTGTCGAGCCATCGTTAATGTTATAAATTACACCCGTACTTTGACTGAAACTTTGGTTGATATCTTTGCATTTATCTCAACAAGTATTGGATGGATAGCCATAAGTTTGGTACAGACATTCATGTTCCTCTCAGGATGAGAGGTAAAAACTCCCCTCACCTTTCTTTCTTCTAGCACCACCAACTCATTTTACAAGGATTTCTTTTAAAATACTTGTAAAACGAGTGACATTCCAGCCTCAGCTGTACTTTGAGTTTTATGCTAATTAGCAAATGTCACCATGCTGAAACGCTAAGCTAAAATGGTGAGCATGGTAAACATTATACCTACTTAAAATCCACATGTTAGCAGCTCTGTTAGTTAGCTCTCATCAGAGAGACTGATATTTGCTCGGCTCTGATCTGGGATTTCCCTGCCCTTCCACACGCTTATGTGGAAAGCCATGATGGAGAGCATCTCCCTGCCCATCCATGTGCATACATGGAAAGCCTGAGCCAGAGAGCAGCAAATATTGCCCTAGGGAACTTGCCAATGAATGCTAAGAGAGGAATCAGTTGATGTGGGTGGCTTTGAGACGGGCTGCTTTCAGTTCATGTGCTGGGATTGTGAGCTGAGCTGGACTTTGTTGCCTGCCTGAACTAACGCTATGCTCAATTAACATGCTGATTTTAGCCTTCAGCATTTTATTGCTTGATAACTTCGTGCGAAGTTTCTAGGAAACAATCTCCACAAGCAGCTGATCAGAAACATGAACGGTCAGTTAAAGCCTGTAGTGTTGATGTGTTGGTGGAGAGGAAAGTCTAAAACAGTCTTGTTTCCCTCACAGGAAACACGGCACCTGTAATAATGATTCTGATCTGTTGAACGCAGCACACATCTTATATCTGTGAACACACAGTGATGTAGTTATCAATAAACCCTGTCCTGAGGTACAGACTCTCACTGTAAAAAGGATCTCCTAAATGTAATCACAGTGACCCTCTGAACACAAACAGCATTTGTGTGTCTTCAGTTGCTGTTGATTCTACAGTGTGACTGCACACAGACTCACACCAGCAACACACACACACACACACACAAACATGCACGCAAACTCCAAAATTAAAATATGACTTTGACCTTTCAAAGTACACAATGAGGGACAGCAAAGAATAAGTCAGACTATAATGAAATATTTTCAAGTTTAAACAATGTGAGAGAGTGGAGGAGAAGGAGTTATGAATTATTAAAGAGGGGTTATTAGCATGTTCGTTACTCATTTATATCCCAAAGGTTCTCTCCTTCTCTCTTGGATTCTTCAACAGAAACACAACAGTCAGAATTAAATTTCCTGAAGAACAAAAAAAAAGAAAAGAAAATCATAGAAAGAAAATAATTAAATAAAATTACAATTAAATGACATAGATACATTTATACAAATATGTACCAATTAAAGGTTTTTAGAGTGACAACATACAAAGAAATCTCCTCCAGCCATTTAACACACACACACGTCCATCTTAGTGCAATAAGACAAAGAAAACGAGGACAAACTCCTGAAAAAACTGCATTCAAAATATTACAAAAGTGAAAGTATAAAAGTATTATTAGCAAATTGTACTTGATGTTTTAAAAGTGAAAGTACTGCTTCTGCTGTAAAATGTCTCCTGTGCCTGATATCAGATCCTGATCCTGTCACCGCTGATGACTCAATGTTAGAGCAGTTTCTTACTGCTGTAGCTGGTCGAGGTGGAGCTAGTTTTACTACTTTATACATTTAGCTGGTTTAAACTACTTTATATACAGTTAGTTGGTTTCCAACCTAGGGGTTTGCTCCCTTTAAGGAGTCACTCTTTGGTGGAACTGCTAACAACTCAGAGACGTCTGAAACACGACAAGGAGCCACAACTCAAAGTACTACATCACGTTCACCCATTCACCCGCTGATGAAAAAGCCACAGGAGCAATTTGGGGTTCAGTATCTTGTATCCTGCTCAAGGAAACTTCGACAGGAGGAGAAAGAGGAGCCGGGGATCCAACCTATTAGTTACTATTAACTAAAGATGTCAGATTAAGGTAATGTAAAAAATAAAATATATACATCTGAAGAATAGTGTAGTTGAAGCACACAATTTTCACGTAAAGGTACGTTAAAACTGTACAGTACTTTAGTAAATGTACTTAGTTACTTTCCACCACAGAAAACTACCTTTAATACAGCTACACTATGTGGAGTGGGTGAGGAAAAAACTTCTGTTCCAATGCCTGCGAGTAGATAAGACACATTTCACGTTCCTGTAAATCCGAGCCTTAATGAATGCTCAAAACTGTCACTGAAAACAGCCAAACTGACCTTTAGTGGAATTTACCACTTCTAATTACCATCAGGACGCCCCGCTCTTTTCATCTCTGTTCACGTGTGTCTTTGTGTGTGCTATACACGTGGGTGTGTGTGCTCAAGAAAGACGACGGCACACATCCACTGAAATCCCAATTCCCAGCAAAGTGATGAGTGTAAACACATAAAATCCAGTTGACACATCTCTGAGGCAGGACAGGGAGATTTAATAAATGACGAGAAGGCCTCTGTGTGTACAGTCAACTGGCCAGACGAGTGTTTGATTTCCCGCAAGGACACATTGTTTCCCCTGCACGAGAAAACACACAAAAAAAAATCCAATCATGTTGTGTCTGGGACTCTGAGCCGGCCCACAGTATGTCTGTGTTTATATATATGAAAAAGATGGAGAGATTGACAACTGTTGTCATTTTGCACAGAAAGAAAACCAAAGAATCATAATATGCAACCTGTCGTCACGCTTTATTTTTATATAATGCTGCAGGAAAGCACCAAATCTCATTAGGAGGGTCTGTGCTGGCAAGAAGAGAAAAACCTTGTGAGTAAAAATGTGTAGGAAGGAAAAGATGAATCACTAAATCTAATGCATGAAAATAGAGATGAATAGAGACAGAAAGATTAGCGGTGGCACTGCCTCCTCTGCTCGATAAACTGGCAGCGATAGATGCAGGAGGTTTTGAACAGCGATGCTCAATCACCCAAAAAATACGAGCTTTTCACCCTCAGCATGGGATAAAGGAAGAAATTAGTTCTCCTGCTGCATCAGAGGGAAATGACAGATCTGAGTTAACTTGGTTTGTGTTGGTCTGACTCTGAGAGACTCAAAGTCTGTGTCAGTTCAAACCTCAGAGTCTACAAAGTGAAGCCAATGTGGAAG